CTCATTATAAGATAGTGTGTGGAGGCCTGCACCCTGGTTTCCTGACAGCCACCTTACTTGGATCCCCATGGGCCTGGAGCACATTCACAGTCTCACTTTCCAATGTGTCTGCACGTCTAGCTGTGGAAACCAAACAGGAACTCTAAACGTGTGTTCCTCCTTCAGGAATCTTTCAGTGATCTGTCTTTTGGGTATTTCTACATCAGGGCACTTTCCTCATGATAAAACTGTATTTCTGCCTCTCAGAAACCTGGGAGCAGCTTGATCATGTGGATCTTTGAACATAGTGATTGGCACAGATTAGGTGTTCTATACTGTCTATTGAGTGAGTGAATGAATGAATGAATGAATGAAAGAATTTGAACTGCCAAGGCATGAAAGCACCTACTATGTATTAGATGCTAATCAAGAGGAGATAGGTTCTCTAGAAGTTGAGGACCTGGGTCAGGGAAATGAGGGATGAAAAGAGTAGCGGAAAAATAAAAGCCAATACTGGTTGAGGGCCAAAGTGGTGAGCTGCCAGGGTTGGAGGATAGTTGCAACCGAAGGGCACAGATTGGAATCTTGAAAACAGAACCAGACTATGACCGGAAGTTCACCTCCAACCAAGTAAAAGGGTACAAGAGAACCAAGGCGATGAGTAAAGCCCTCTTATGGAGATGAAAAGAATTACAGTTTAATATACCACAGAATACACATTATAAGAGGACTGAGCTCTAGATCCACACGAAACCAGGTTCAAATTCTGACTCCCTTCCTACATGTTCTTTGGGTAAATTGGTTAGCATATCTAAGCCTCAGTTTCTCCATCTGTAAAATAGACATAAATAATAATCTTCTCATAGGAATGAGTCAAAATATATAAAGCCTTCAGTATGGAGCTTACATATAAGAAATGTAATTATTGTTCTTATTCTCCTTCTTCATGGCATGGCTAGGACACATTTAGAAGGCTCATCCCAACTGTGATGGAGGTAAGGTTGGACTGGGAGTGTAGATAGAAAACCAGCATGAAATTTTAAGTCCCCTTTCTCCTCTAGATTGGATCACATCAGTGGAACTTTTAAAAGAATTCCTACACTCATTTCAGAGCACTATGACTTGCTTGAGCTATCTCCCATTGGCTTTCCGAAGTTAAGGATCCTAGCGAAAGTAATATTCATGGGATAACTATCTATGATTAAGTCTGTGCCACATTAGCCTGGAAGTAGGGTATAAATAAGAATATTATCTTGTTTCCACCTCTGTTGACTGTCACTAGCAGGCAAATCAACTCTGAATTACTATTGAATTGCTGTAAGTTTTTTTTTTTTATTACCCTCCCTGTACTATAATGCCCTTTAAGAGGACAGTGTAGTTATTGCACATCATTTATGGTCTCCATAGAATCTAGCAATGCTCCATAATCTGCTCTTGGTTACTACTGGTCATTTATCACCAAAGTGATAAACTTCATCTTATGATTCTATGACAGTAAGATCCTAGGGACACCTACAAAATTCCATATATATTTTTTTTCTACTCTCTGGTAACATATTACCTTATAGAGAACTTTAATCCAGGAAGCTAGTGAGGCTGCCTTGTGAAATAATTATTTTAAAATTCACTTGAGATATCTAATTTTAAAATTAGTTGGAAAAAAAAATCTCCCATGAGGATTGAATTATCTCTACTGCTGTTCTGGAAATGAAAAACAAATTCTTCAATCTCCCTCAAACAGAAATTTTTTCCTCTATAAACTTGGGTCATTTTTAATTTTAAAAATATTGAAAATAATAATTTATTCATTTATAATGATAAGACAGATATTTACCTGGCATATTAACACCTTTCATGTGTGAATTGCAGCAGACTAAACAGTGGACTAGAGGAGGCCAGTCTACCAAAATCATACCTCTCTAGGGGGGTTCCAACTTTGCCACTTGTGATCCATCATGTTTTATAAGGAAGAAAAAAATCATGTCACCCTTTATTATGATTTAGGATCTCCATTTCCATTTYTCTTCTCCTCAGACTTGCTGTGAGCATTAATTCATTCATATTCTCACATTTGCAGAAAGTTCACTTATGACTCAGGCTTAAAAAAGCCATTCTATTGATAAAACACCTRTCTGAGTATTGTGGATATTTTTAAATGATTATCACAATAAAAACAGCTTATCAACTAAGTCACTTGAATTATTTTTCTTTTTTGAGTTTCTTTCCCCAGCTGCAACAGGTTAATATTACCCATCTTTGAAAGTTTTTTCGATGAAGAATAAAAACAAATAAATGCTACCTCTGCTTAACAAGTTAAAGCCAGTGTGAAGATCACGTGTACATTTTACAACTTACTACGTGTCTGTTTATTCTGGTCCTTAGTATTAAAACAGCTCCCTTCCCTGGAATCTGTCCACACACAACAATGCCCCGTAAGCAGTCCTCTAAATTATTCAACAAGTTGTTATAAGGGTTTTTAGTTCTTTTTATATATTATCATCCAATAATGATTACAAAGGCAAATAAATCATCATCTTTCCACACTAACTTCCATGTTATACTAAGTAAGAAATGCGAGTTTGGGGGTTGGCTCTTGAGCAGGGAGGGATGAGAGAATCATGAAAAGAATTTTAGTTCTTCCTTTAAAAAAATATTTTTCTACTACCCACTGGAAAACAAAGACGTTTGGTTCTCTGTAGATGAAATCTGCTCTCAAATATCCTTGGGATATATCCTCACGTTACTATGATCTAACAAAGTTTGAAAGCTTCGAAGCTCATTGTTACGAATCTGATCTGTTGTAGCTGCTTTCAAACTAAAAATAGCTTTAAAAATATGAAAGAATCAGGGATTTAATCATCTCAAAGTAATTTTAGATTTCATAATTTAGAAAAATATAAATCAGAAATTATAGACAACAATATACTGTAAGGTGCATTTGGTATCAGTGAACCAAACTCTTGGGTTATTTATTTGGGTTTTAAAAATATATATAATTTTTTAGAGAACTAGAATATTCTTTTTATTAATAAATCCATTAGCAAGTAAGAATAATGTGCTTTGCCACAGCCTCAAACACAAGATTTGCTATGGTTCCATTTCAGGATATGTTTCATCAAAATAGGGAAAATCAGAATTACATGGCAAATGAATTTAAAAAACAATACAATAGGCACATAGTATCTCAAACTCCCTGAAGCAGAGTCTCTGGTAGGAGTGTGTGAAGGGGTAGCTGCTAGAAACTCTTGTTTATTACATTTTCCCCTGAGATTCTATTGAGAATGCTGTTTTGGGACTTATTGCTAATCACCCCATAAACTAGATGACACTGAAAGGTGGCAATAACCAGGCAGCAGTTATGGTAAAGGAAAACCTGTGATGATGAAGGATGCTCAGGGTATATTCTGTTTAACCAGTGCATAGAAGGGTGATTGACAATCGAATGTCGTTCTGAAATTTGGACAGTGTCTGCCTGTTTCTCTTATTTCCACTCCCAAAAGTTTCACCTATGTCCCTTTCTGATTAACATTTTAGAAAAATGTTTACTTAGAAAAATAAAAACCATTCTGTGCAAATAATTCAAACAATTAAAGTTAAAAATAAATATGCTAAAATGTATTTAATCCAGCAATGAGGACTAATACAGAATTTAAGTATAAATAAGAAAATCTTTTAGGCCATTCTTTCAGACTATAAATCTTAAAGGTGAATTTTAAAAATGTAGCTCGCAATTAATTATAGTTATAAACATACAGAAAATAGTGGACCCAGCATCTTCATTGTAGTGAAAAAAAATATGCTAAGCCTGGGAAAACTTCACTTCTCCGATTGTTGCTTCATTTCCCCTATTGGGGAACCTACAACATGAACAATACTGAGCGGCTTAAAGAACAACTCAGTTACATAAATCCAGATTAGTACTTGGAAGAAAAGTTACATGAAAGGTTTAAGAGAGACAAATTGATAAAGCATATATTAATTTTGTTCCTATATTTAAAATACATGAGATCAGGCTCCTGCTAAAAAATAACTGAGACACCTAAAAACTAATAATTCCACAACATAACATTCAGTTCCAAGGTTTTTTTTTTTTTATCACTATATCTTCCTATTTTTACTCAAGACATAGCTTTGTTTTCAGTATTCAGGATCTTTTGTTTTCTCATTTTGATTTTAAGTGTTTTGATTGCTATCTCAGCTCATCCTTAACTTTAAACTGGTGTTAGTATTAGGATCAGCCATTGAGCTCTAATACTGCCGATATTTCCCTGCCAAATGCAACACTTATTTCCTAGGTTCAAGGGTTAGCTCTGCCCACATATGACATATGTCTCCCATTTTCTTTTTCTTTCTTTTTTTTTTTTTTCTGTGGTGCTAGGGATTGAACCCCAGGCCTTGTACATGTGAGGCAGACACTCTACAAACTGAGCTATATCCCCAGCTCCCATTCATTTGACCCTTTCACCATTGCTATGGAAGTGCTGAAGCTCTTCCACCCCTGACACTAGTTCATAATTGTAGCTTAGACAACGTATGACCCTCTCTGGGCCTCWGTCATGCCTGAGAAAAGGGAAGGAACTGGACTTGATGATCCAGAATTGTCCCTCCCAGTTTACAATGCTATGCTAGTCTAGTTTAATCCATCCATTTTCAGAGATCTCAGTTTCAGAAAGCCAGTGTGAGCATAGGTTGGAGCTAAGACCACCAGGAAATCATAGATTTCAATGTGGGAAGAAAACTTAAACATCATTTGKTCCAACACCTTCATTTTACAGCTGAGAAAACCTTGGTCCAGAGAAGGTACTTGATTACCTCAAAGCAGAGATGGAAATAATGAGGACATCTCCCAGGCTCTCATCTGTAGCAAAATTGAAATTCGAGTATCTTCCTGATTGAAGTRCATAATGATATCAGAGTAAAATGTGATACAGAAAGCATAAATTGGTCTAGAACACATTAAAGCATTTTCTCCCTCTAAAAGATAAATTCTCTATTATAACTACAAGAATTTTGGAGAGAAATTTGCTATTGGTGGTGATTGACACAAAATAGCACATATCRTATCACATAAAACATCTTAGATTTATGCTTTTAAATAGCCAAATAAAACAAAACATCAAGTCACAGAATACATATATTTACATTAATTTAAATGTCCAAAGCACAYTACAGCAGGGTCTATTTAATAGATTATATAATTTAAGATTTACATATACACAAGCCTATGAACAAATATTAGTCTGCTAAAACAAAGTTTTAAGAAGTTACTCTGACATTTTGGTATTAACACATATTCTTGTCAACAAATGACGACTTTAAATTTTCAATGAGATCCTTTGTACAAGGATACAGAATGGAGAGAATGTACAGAATGGAAAGAAGACAGTCAAACAAATGTACCTTCCTTGCACTACTTACTTAACACTGTAGAAAATATGGCATTATCCAGTAAATTCTATCAGTGCAGTTAGTTCATTCTGGTCTGAAATGATGATTTTGGCTACTTCCCAAATCTAATTTTATGCTTTATAAATCATTGCTGCTTGATGCTTCCTTTATATCTTTTGAAAAATAAAGCAGGACACTAATACTTTTCCTTAAAAAATAAGTTAACTTTGATCCTAATAAGTTAGCAAAGTCTACTTTTTAAAAGAGCACTAATATATGTAGTTCATTTTTTTCTTTTTAAGAGTCCTGCATAAAAGGATAATATCACCTTTGGGCTGGCTTTGGCAGCATCAGTGATGCTAAAGATTAAGATACAGTTATCTAGAACTTAAAACTTTGGAAAACAGCCCCATCTTTCTCTGGCACCTTGGGGGAACCAAAGTGCTTTACCTCATTTCCTATCAAGCATTTAATAGACTGTTTATTTGGTTTGATCTCAAACAAACTACAAAAAAAAAAAAAAAAGTCCTCCCACAATTTCTGCCCTACTATTTATTTTGGAGACTACCACACACAGTTAAATATGGAGAGATTAAATTATGACATCATACAATTACAGGCACACAATTAAGAAGAAGCCACAAAGGGTGTGTCTGAGAACACTGAATTGACTGAATCTGAGTCGGATTTCACCCTCGTGGACTTTAAGATGCCCTCCGCCATCACTGCCTCACTGGGAAAGCGCCTGACTTTCCCATTCTGCCCTGCCGCAGCATCCTTCAGAGGCTCCAGAAACACCACTCTTCTACCTGCACCTGCCTTCCGTTCATCAGCAGAGGCATCACTAGCAGGGCCGGGACTGAGAATAGATGAATGGGCATTGCTTTGGTTTAGCATATTTTTCTGTCTTTTGGTTTTACACTTGCAGGGACACGGTGTCAGATAGAGGTACAAGAGTACCAAAATGATACTGGCCACACAGGCGGCAAGAGTGGTAAAAGCTGTGTTAAATGCCTCATGAGCATGGGATCTGTTTACAGTGAAATTGCTCACGTTTATTGTGACATCCACAGTCTCATTTAACAGGCGTTGCCTATTCATTGCAATACAGGAGTACACTCCAGCATCCTCAAAACGAGGATTTTCTATAACCAGACTTCCATTGTGAAACACATGAAAGTTTTCCACTTCTTTATCTGGCTCCAACAGTCTGTTATCTGGACCAACCCAGATGAAATCTGTATTTCCACTACTAGTCTTGCTGTCACAGTGGACAATCAGCCTTTCCCCGACCTGAGCCTCATGAATAAAGCCAAGTGCACGGAAGGAACCATTGATGACACTGTCAGAGCAATTCATAAAGCTATCCTGGAGCAGAAGCAGCTGATGGGAGTGCTTGGAGTCAGACCACAGGYGACAGGTGTAATCATTTTTAAAATCCATCACTGAACTAAAGTGCCTACGGTACCAAAAAATCAACAATGAGTATAGGGAACAGTCACAGACAAATGGATTTCCATGAAGGTAGATGCCTCTTAGCTGTTTTCCTGACACTAAATTTATACGATGCATTGGAATGGAAGGGATCCGGTTATAAGAAACATCTAAAAACATCAGTTCTGGCAGCTTGAACCTTCCAACATACAAATCCATAGGAAACTGTGTGAGAAAGTTTCCACTTAGGTAGAGTTTTTGCAATTGGGAGAGCCCTCCAAACGCTGAAGGATCAAGATAGGAAATGTGATTGTTGTACAGCAGGAGCACTTCCAGAACCTTCAACTCCTGGAACACTGCGCTTTTCACTGTCTTCAGCTTATTGGATGATAAGTCAAGACACTTCAAATTTGGAGTCGTGGAAAAACTGCCTGTGGAAATGCTGGTGATGTTGTTATGACGAATAATTAGGGTGTTCAGCTTGACAAACGATACTGGAAGCCACTCAGAATCCAGAAGCCCAATTCTGTTATAGCTGAGATCCAGTCTCTTAATCAGTCTGAAAAGGTTTCCGGGCACCTTGGACAGATTTTTGTTGGTGCAGCTGACAATGTCAGTGGCACAAATGCAAGCGGTGGGGCACACCCCAGAGGCACCAGGGCTCACGGTCACTGTGATCACCAACAAACACAGCAGCTCTCTGCAACCAGGTCTGACAACTCCAGGCAGGGTGGGCAGTGTGCGTAACCGTAAAGACATTATGGTCGCCTCTGCGTCTTTTCCAGGAGTCTTTTTCTCCAGTTCAGCCTCCCACCAGTCAACCTGGTAAATAATTAATATGTAAGAAGGGGGAGGGGAGTATAAGTTAATTATCGCTGGTTAACCCTCAAGAGTCATGCTATACTTTCCAATAACTTTTGAAATGGGGTTCATTTCATACGAGGGAGCTCTATGCTGCCTTTTTACTACTAAATTCATTTTTCCCTAGGTTATTCCTGCTTATCAACATTACAGGCACATTGTCTCAATATAACTGTCTCACCATCAGAAACTCAGTGGTTTTAAAGGGGTGCATCCTGTTCTATTCTTAACTCCCTCTAACAAACACAAAAAATACACAAACGCATCCTACGAACAATTAAACGGAAATACTTAGCAAACCCCCGTCCAGAAAAACAACTCACAGAGCTGGGAAGCCTCACGGGTAGCGGAGATAGGACGCCGGCGGCGGTGTTTTCTAAAGGTCTGCGCGTCTGTTTGTCGGTCTCTGGCACCTTCCGATATCCTTTCCCTTTTGCTCCCGGGGGGAGGCAGCCTCTCGCTGTCTGTCAACTTCGGGAGTTTCAAGCAGCCGCGGCGGCAGCAGCAACCCCGGGCGCAGCAATCTTCTCGGCGGGCTCCACTTGGTTCTCCCGGGCTTTTCTCATGGCACCGCTGAAGGTACCGCCTCGGCGCTCTGGCCACCCTGTGCCCGCGCGCTGGGCGCCCCGCTCCCGCAGCCGCGTCCAGGAGGCGGGGGCGCGGGCGGCGGGTCGGGCCGGCCCCACCTCTCCGCGCTCGGGAGGCCCCAGGGCCTGAGGTTCCCGCGCCCGCCGCCGGGGTTTTATCCCCGCGCGCCCGGAGTCGGGTGCGGGCGCGGAGGTCGGTCCCGCCCCTGCGCGTCCTTCGCTCTTGCAGGACCCCACTCGGAAGCCGCAGGAGGGAACTGCCCGGYGCTCGGTAGGGCCCGCGGAGCTGGAGGGGGCGACGGCGCAGCCAATCGGAGAGGCGGCCGGCGTCCCCCTCACTCCCACCCCGCCGCCGCCTCCCGCCTCCCTCCTCCGGCTCCCCTCGACCCGCGGAGCGGCTTTGCGACGGGGATCCACACCCGAGGCCCCAGCTCGAGACCCTGCACTCTCCTGTCCGTTTGTCCAGCCCCAAACAGAGTGGTGTTGGGGTCGGGAGAGGCTCAGGGGGAGACGCCCAGTCCAGGAGGGAGGGGTCGCGATCTTGGGGACCCACTTCGCCGTGGCCATGTAGGTAGCATCTCTCCCTCACTAGTCCACGCAATTCCCGGACCTCTTCGCGCTTTGCCTTGGGGCGAGGGCCAAGGGAGCTTTATCAGCACTAAATTCAGTTGGCATTAAAGGTTTACCAAACAGAAAAGCTGCCTTCGTCTCCGCCTTCATTTGGGGGAGGAGGCAGGGGGATGGGGACTCGAGCACGTAGCCTCCTCCTGGGCGACCGGAATCTTTGCTTGGGGGAAAGAATGGAGAAGGCACAGCGAGGACACCYCTCTGCTCCCTGGAAAAGTTCTATCCCTTTCCTAACTCAGGAGGCGGCATCAGGGATGGTGCCCAAATCAGAAGGCGAAGGGCAGGAAATATGGTTCAGAGCGGACCTTCCAGCTTGAATGCAAAGATAAGAGTATTAACCTTAAAGAAAAAAATTCCAGAACCAGATCGATTCTTGCTTGTTTTGTTTATTTACTTATTTGTTTGTTTGTTTGTTTTTTACAAACTGCTGGCCACTCTGTCCGGACCAGGACCAGGACTGATCCCAGAAGGGGTGTCTGTGCTGGGGGATTTAGTCCCCTTTCAGAGAGCCAGGGCTCCAGTGTGCTTTGGTCCAGCAGGCATGGGAAGGTACAAGCTGGACAAGGCCATGCAAAAATGAGGTAGAGGGCATGAAGCTGATGAKCTTTTCGATTAAAAACCCATTTTTGCTTAATTCCAAGATTTAACGATGGGATTTGACTGAGCCAAACGACCCATTTGGCCATTATATCCGGATTAAAAGAAATAAATTACTACCCTAACAGAAGATGCTAACCACAGCAGAAGCAATAGGGAAACCAACTGAAAAGCAGACTAAATTGAAAAAACAAAAAGCAATTGGAGTAGGGCACATAATATGTAATATTACGTAAAAATAAAAACAATGACAGTGACAACCAATTTCCTCCACCCCACATTCAAACAACCTTCAGTTTAGTGAAAAGTTGTCCATCAATGAATTGGTGTGCTAGCACGAATCTTAGAGGCCAGTGCCTAATTTAAATGGAGTCATGTGCATTGTTTACTTAACTGTGGAATAAACCCAGAATAGCACTGGTAAATTCAAAGTGTTTTCAAGTGAGGGCAATTTGATTCAGGTTAATTTCAGTTTCATGGAAAGTTGAATTTTATCACAAGAATGCAGCCTGAAATGCTTCATGAAACCATTCTTCACTTCCAGAGGAGGGGCAGAGGTTGAGGTTTTCTTCTAATAGGTCACACCCCCTGGAGTTTTCAAAAAAATTTGGTCTCTAGTTCTTTGTTTTTATAGGATTAACATAGTTAACCAAAAAATAGAATTAAAATTACTCACAGTGCTCGAGGACTTTTTAARTGACTAACAAATGACCAGGTTTTTGCAGTACTTTCCTGAGAAACAGCCCATTCAGAGAAAACCATGAAGATAGGAGAAAGACCTGTGTTTAATACAAAAATGCTGTAAGAAGAATAAATGACTTTAAAAATGGAAACAGAAGGTTATGTTATTATAGCTGAAGGCATACCATGGAAACATGCAGTGATTGCACAGCATAAGTAAACTAAATGCACTCAAAATCCACAGACAAGGCTGTTTAATCATTGGAAGAACTGATAATTGGGTTCCCCACCTGTTAATGGGAAAGGAGATATGAAAGAGGTGGGTTTATTAAAGTTGGAGAAAAGAAAACTGACTTGACCTCAATAATGATATAAATATGTCCTTATTTTATTTTTATCTTTCTGGTATCTTTTTAACCTTCTTCATCTTTTTTCTAACAGATTGCCTTTATACTAGTCTGTTTTCTATCACTATAACAAAATATCTGAGGCTCTGTACTATATAAAGAACAGAGTTTTATTTAGTTCACATTCTTTGAGGCTGAAAGTCCAAAATCAGGCAGCCCTATCTGGCCTCTGGTGAGAGTCCCCTTATTTGGATCCTGGATCCAGTAGTGCCCGAAAACCACTACACACTTATACTTCTTATTTGATTACATTCTCTTCTTTTTGCCTCCCTCTCTTCTTTTTGCCTAAATAATTTTGAGGTGTGTTGTGTCACTTGTGAATGACAGAGTCATAATGAATATAGTGGTGGTAATAAATATATATTGATTACATGCCAGGCTCTCAGTTGTGTGTTCAACATATATTACTTCATTTTCATGTTCACGCCAACCAAATGGTAAACAACTGTTTCAAATTATTAAAAAATGGAGTTGAAATAACCTTAAGGTTTCATTTGAAGGATTTAGATTAAACAGAATAAGAACGTTATTGCCAGAGTGGTTCCAAACCTGAATGGGTACTAAGACAGATGGTCAAGTTGCCTTTCCAGGAGTTTAAAATAGGACAGAGAGCTATTCCTCAGCCCTCTTCCACATGGTATAAGCTACTGGTATTCTGACCATTTGATAATGACTCTAATSGATAATAGAAAGTAAATTGACACTGGGCATGATTTTGGATCTGATGTGCTAGGGCAGGTGTGGTCATGTGAACATCTTTCTGTGTTTGGAACAGAGGCAGTGATTTGAATGAAATCTCAGGGGTTCTTTCAGGCCTGTGATTTCCAGAATTTCTTAGGTTGTATTCCAAGACTTAAGGAATTAGAACTATGAGACAAGAAATTGTTACAGCACTAGTTTGACGATTCTCAGTCATCTTAACCAATAATGAACACCTTAATAGAACTTTTTATGCTATGAAGGACTTCCACTTTTTTTTTKGTCATGATTGATTTTAGCAAGTATCCTGCAATCTGTAATTTGGATACCAGCCAATAGCTAGTCCCTCCTTCCCCCACCCTTCTTTTAAACCCAGGGACACTTTGGCTTAAGTCAGGAAATACATAGTTTTGCCCACCAGTTCTGGAAGTGCCCCAGCAGCCTGTCCTTCTCTAGGCCTGCTCCAGCAGGTTTTTCTAAATTGCTCAAGAATTGCTATGGAATGAGATCTCTCACTCATACTATGTCTCCAAAACTATGGTCTCCAAAATATTTGTCTCCAAAAATATCTTCAGAGGAGACTCGGACTCCAGCCCCTGAGTTCCATGAGGCATTTGTCAACTTGTAGCTTGTTTCTCGGGAAACTCCTTTACTTCGMTGGAAATGACCAGAGAGGAGGCAGGTTCCTGCCCCAGGTAGAGCTCCGGATGGAGCAACTCTTTAATCAGTTCCCACCCACCCATCTGATTGGTCTGTCTCTTACCTTCATTAGCATAGGCTAGATACATTTGTTTTAAACTCACTTGAGATAAATAAAATCACATGACATAAAATGCACTATCTTAACCATTTTAAAATGTACAATTTAGTGATTTTTTTTTAGTCTATTCACAATGTCGTGCATCAGTGTGTGTGTGCTATTTATTTATTTATTTTGTACTTGGTATTGAACTCAGGGCATTTAATCCCTGAGCCAGAGCTGAAACTGCCATTGAACCAGCAGTCTTGCTGCCTCAGCCTCCTGAGCCGCTGGAATTACATGCGTGCACCACCGATCCCAGCAACCACCCTTAAATTCCAGATTGTTTTTCATCATCCTGAAAAGAAACCCCAGACCCATTAAGTAATCATTACCATTCCACTTCCTTGCAGCTCCTGATAAGCAGTAATCTACTTTCTGTCTGTCTGTATTTGCCTTTTCTGAACATTTCATATAAATGGGATCATGTAATATGTGGTCATTGATGTCTGACTTCTTTCACTTAACATGTTTTTAGCATTTGGATAGGGTTTTTTAGCTAAGGGTTGCAAAACTGTTTGAGATCATCCTGGTGAAAGTCCCGCATATTTGGTTTAGTTGCACTTGAATTAGAATGTGGCTCAGGGTGCCCAAAGTCCCATTTATTCAGAGTCTTCAATTATAAAAGTATTAGACCCAGGATGAGTACGGAAATCTACTAGAATCACAAGGTGAGGAGACCTAAGATTTAGACTTGAGTAAAAATCTGTTAGCTTCCCACAATCCCAAGAGTTCATTGAGGGTGACAATTGACAATTTCTAAAGTTCCTTCCAATTAAAAAAATTGATATGATTTTTTTGATAATGATGTGTCCCCTGTTGCCCAAGCCCAGGAACAGACTAACCAATTAGAGCATGTCAAGGTTTGATTTCTTGTCTGAGTCAGTTTTTACTACCCTGGACACACAGGTTCCACTCTCTCATGTGAATGATGTCAATCCATTACTTCATTAAGAAAAACAACTTCAGGCAAGTTCTCCAATGCTGGGARATTACTTTAATCTATTAAGTATTCAATTATAATGAGGGATCACATTTTCATTGCACTATCATTTCCAGCAGGAAAAAAATTAGCACATTCTTAATTTTTCACAGGGATTTTAGCAAGTATTCTGCAATCTGTAATTTGGATACCAGCCAATAGCTAGTCCCTCCCTCCCCCACCCAACTGGTACACTATAGTGCTCTTCAAAATAATGTGGAAGGGGAATATCTGGTGAAATAGCAAAACATTATAAAATGAACCAATTCTAATTTTCATAAAATAAAAATATATTTGTATATCAGTTCTATAGTATGCATAGATAG